GTACCTCGAAAATTTGTATTGCATAAATTATTGAACACACCTAATATATGCGGTGCAGACATTGGGTGATAATAGAATAATCTATCCTAATTCTGCATACACATAATAAAGATGTATAAAACCAGAGGAAAACAGAGATTTTCTTCAAGAAGATCTCTTGATCTTAAACTTCCTAAACCTCCAACCTTATCCTACTTCATGAGCAAATATTGTGGAACACAGAAACTGCTTTACTGTGGAATCTCAATCAAAACTTTGGAGAGGGATCAGCATTTTGACATGGGAGCACTTGTCCTAAAGGGTGCTCCTAGATCACACCTATAGCTGAATGCAGTTAAAGGCTATGGAGATTTCTTGAACTTTTTTTTCAAAATTACTGCAGGATACATGAATGATGCAGCAGATTCAGAATTTAAGAAAATTTAAGTATAAACATGTAGAAAAATTGACAAAGTCAGACTGTACACAGCAAGAATAAAGAAATACAATCACCATTTAAGTTCTAAGATCTAATTTTTTATCCCAAAGCACCACATAAATTTAAATCCCTCAATCTTTTAAAGTGTTCTGGTTTATCATTCAACAGATTCCAAAAAAATAAACTCCAAATCATTTAAGTAAAATGTTTTTTTTTTATGTTTTCTATCTCTTAAGCTTACACCTGCTTAGCCTTATCTTGAAAAAACCACTTTGATAAAACTTTCCGTTAAAACTAATTTTGAAGGTAATCTTCTTGTACTTTACTTCAAGACCAAAGAATTGAGCTTACTTAAACAGTTATAACAATTTCGCCCTCTAAAATTGGTTTTTAAGTGTTGATGCTAAAAAAATGTACTTTTGCTTTATTTTTTATTATAGTATGTTTCTATCATTTTGGGGAATAAAGATGTGTTAATGCTTTTTATTTAATTTATGGGAAAATCTTAAGCAAATTATGTAAAAAATCGCATTCTGAAAAGGGTTTCCACAACACAGATTCTCTTGCACAACAGTTTCCCGTTTTTGCACGAAATTTTGTATAATTTTTGTATCAAAACGAAACCAGTTTTGCGCAAAAATGCGCATTCATTCAAAAAAAATAATTTTCTTTTGTACGAAATTGCACATGAATATTAAATTAAGTAATATTTGTTGCACGGCATATAGTGCACAAATATGAAAGATTTAAATATAGGATAGTATGATGTGAATTAGATATACTTGTGATAAATATAGTAATGAACCCCACATTTTGTAAACCTGAACATACCTATATATATTACGTTATAACATTATCTGTACACTAAGTACATTCATTTATTTGTGAACAAACCTGTAGGTCCATATTATTAACATGTACTATAAAACCCAAAATATAGATTAATTGGATATGAACCTTTGTTTTATTACGTTAAGACACATATTAATTATCGTGTAGAGAGCATAGAGTCCGAAAGTGAGTTGTATCTGAACGATACATTCTTAAGAATACAGAAAGTATTGTATCTGGATTGATACAGACTAAAGTATTTTTGAAGAATATTGAGTTCTAAGAGCGAGTTATATCTGAATGATACATACTAAAGAATACAGAGAGTGTTATATCTGGATTGATACAGACTAAAGTATCATTGGAGAATATAGAATTCGAGAGTGGGTTGTATCTGGATTGATAAAGACTTAAAAGAACTATTGGAGTAAGGCATTCGTTACATACTGATGACATCTTTGTCTTAAACTATGTAAATAGGAATGCATTTCTCTTGTTTGTCAGTTTGTTTGTTTGTTACCTATTTCCGTCGGCTGAACCAAATTGTCGCAATGAAACTGATGGCTGGTATTCGCTTAGTCAGTATCAGTCCGATGACCTAAAAACTCAGACGTGGGGCTCACCAGGAGCGGAGGTGGGCCATAATACAATGAGCGGCTCTAATTGGTTTAACATTGGATTCATACATTTCATTGTATCTCGAAATTTAACGAAATAGCAGAAAATAACGAAATACGCAAACCAAGATTTTTTTCAGAACTTGCGCGGAATAGCTTTTGCGCATCAATGCGAAATTAAATCGAAATTTTGTGCAATTTTTAGTCAGATCGTAAGAAAACCTTTGCGCAATTATTGCACAATTTTCGTGCAAATAATTTCGATTGGAAACCCTAATTCTAAAACCATAAAATCTATTCTTAATTATCAAAAACTTTAGTCTTTGAGATAATTGACAACTTTTGCTATATAGTAATATTTAACACAATGATGTGCAAATTTTTTTCGGCATCACAACATAGACACTGGAAAACAATTTTTTTCATACCTATACGATGTTTTGCTGCAAAGAGATAAATTTTTAATTTACAAAGTTATCCAACCCCAGGCAAAATTTGGTGCTATTGTTGCGAATATTGTGAATAAAAATCATTCTTTAACAGTTTGAAATCTATCAAAATAATCTAAGTCTATAAATGAAACACGGTGTTCATATGCTGCATGTGAAAATCAATTGAATAAATGAATGTATCATAAAATTTTTTTTATTAATTGTAGTTTTTATGCACACACATGGGGGGGGTTAAAGATTAAAAAGGGGAGGAGTGGTGGGAGTTTGAGGGGGAGGGAAATAGGGGAGGTGAAAGAGAGGGGAAGGAGGGGGAAAGTTACTAAAAATCAGATTAGTTTGCTGTGTTCACTGGGACATGAGGTTCCATTGACTGATTTCGAAGGTTTCAATCTTACTTTATTTACAAAGCAGTAGGAAGCAAGTTTTTACAGTGATAACATTGTAATATTTACATAAACAACTTCAAAATTATTCTTTCTTTACAAATAGGGACTCCATTTTTACATTGGCTTTTCCGATTCAATATGGTACCCTTTAAAGCTTTGTCTGATATAGAATGCATGGAAAAGTTGATTATTTTCAAAAGTAATTGCTTCAACACTTTTCAATCGAGAAAAATATCTTTCACGTTCTTATCAAATAAAGGTTTAGAACATACTCTTATAAATTTTAAAATGAAAGTTCACTATAAATACCAACGACATTCATTTTAACGATCGTTCAGTAAAATCGTTCGTCCTTGTTACAATGAAAATCCACGATTTCTTTTTAATTATTCTGTTTTTCGCGACATTTCGTGATTATTAGAAAATTAGATGATAATTTTTATTTTACAGTTATCTGTTCACCACTGGATCAAAGATTTCTAAGAAGATTGAAAAGATGTTTTATTTTTAATATTTTTGTTTTAACAAATTGTTAAAAGTTTCCCTCCCTATATATTTCCCTTCGGTGTTTTCAATATTTCAACAAAGAATCATTTATCTTTGAGGGCCGGAGGTTTTCAAATTCTTTAAATAATAAAATTCTTTAAAAAATCTTTTTAAAAAGTTGTTAATCGATAATTTAGTTTATATCTTTTTTAGACAAATAAGTTCAATATGAGTTGAAAAGAAGAAAATTTAAAAAATGAGGCGATTTTTCCTCATTTTCAGGAATGATTTAAACATATTTCGAATATTAATACAACACAAGAAAACGGTAAAAATCTGTCTATTCAAATATGATTTACAAATGTATCATACACTTAAGAAGGTTTAATGCTAGAGAAGCCAATACATACTAAAGAATACAGAGAGTGTTGTATCTNTTTCAAAAATGTGAGCTTAAAAGTTTTTATTTTTGTAAGATTTTGAAAATGCGCGAAAAAATATTATGAAATTCACAAACTTTTTTCATACTGTACAAAGAGAAGATGCTCACAGATTATTCTCATAATATTAATAACACACTCATAGTTTATTCAGGGCTTTCTCAAGTAGGTTTTCATCTTTTAAAATTTAATTAGATTAAGTTAAATCTGATAGGAACGAATTTGTCTAAACCTTTTATAACTTTATTTAGATAATTTATTTTATAAAATACGAAGAAGGCATTTTAATTATTATACTTTTATCTTTTGGATTTTTAAGATCAGAACGTATAACTAACTACAACGAAGTAAATCGGTTAAAAATATGTCCAAAAAATAAGGCTCACTGAGGAACTCTAGTTTACTCCTCGAGACATTAATTCAATGTTGTTAGTTTTACACATGAAAAATATAACTTTTTCTTATTAAAGCCTGAAAGAGTAAGAAATACAAGAGGAGTTCTTCTTACACCAAAACCTAAAAATAGTAAGGTACGGAAATTAACACAATTGTCTTTACTAATCAAGTAAAAGTAGTGACAATGTAGATTGTGCTAACAATATTCAGTAAACAATGTAGTATGTGCAAACAGTAGATTTTATAATGTTCAAACAATATTCAGTACATAATGTAGATTGTAGAATGGGCAAACAATATTCAGTGCATAATGTAGATTGCAGAACGTGCAAACAATACTCAGTACATAATGTAGATTGTAGAATGTGCAAATAATATTCTGTACATAATGTAGATAGTAGAATGTGCAAACAATATTCAGTACATAATGTTAATTGCAGAACGTGCAAACAATATTCAGTACATAATGTAGATTGTAGAATGTGCAAACAATGTTCTTTATAATCTACTGTCGTCGTCGTATATATCATTACAATGATCCGATTTTTTGATTTCTACCAAGCTTTCAAACGTAATATGATATACATGAACATGGAAACAAAGAAAAGCTGCAGGCAATTAACAGCTTTGCTTACAGGGTGTCCCACGAAACATGTTAGTTTGTGAATAGTTTTAAATGTTTTCTTTCATAATTTGTTAAGTGCTTTGACATAATTAAGAGATTAATTATCATTAATAAGAAATATAACATGGCAGTCATTTTATAGCAAAATTGAGCTCAAAGTAATAACGAAATACACTGCAAAAATGTCTTTAATCTCTAATATAATATATGGAAGAAGACATTCAAAACATTCGCCAACTGTCATATTTCGTGGACACCCTGTAGTTGAGGTGTTAACTTGTAATATGGACAAAAACTTGTTAGAAATCAAAACTTAAAAAGAAAGTTTGTATTCACTGTATTAATAGTAATGTCGACCATGGTATTTGGTATTTGGTCTTCCATTTGTGCGCTTTAGATATTTTTATTTATTTAATAACATTATTTTTTCGAAATTTCCCTTGAGACTAATAAATAGATATTTTGCCATTTTAAAGTGTAAAGGGCTTAAAAATGAATTTAAAATGATTTATTAAGAACATTAATTTTTTTATGCTGGAAACAGAAATAAAGTGATCCTTAAAAACTGTGGAATAGAAAAACGACATTTAAGAATCTAATGTTGTCAATCTAACAGTTTTACTTGTAGCTTAAACTCATATTTCTAATTGAAGTGGGTCTATGTGTTTCTTGGACTAGTTAATATATTGTATTTACAAGTCGTTTTCCTATTCCACTCTGTTGTGGGTATCACTGTAAAAAGTTGTATTTTTAGTGTCCTGTCCAGAGACGTCTACCATCTCTAACATAATGTTATAGATCCATGTTTATTCAGTAGAAACTTATTTAAAAGATTGGGAAATTATTAAGCTACGGTTCAATGATATTTTTAAAAGCAATTAATCTGTTATTCATAAATACAGTTTTTAATATATGACTTATGTAACATAATTAGTTAAATTTTAACCTTGGAAATAAACGACTGACTGCTTTAGAATTTCTGTACGCAAATCAAATAATGATGATTCATTTATTACTCTTATTATTATTAAGGCTACACTATGGTTTTTTGCGGATTTGCGTTGAAATAAACTAAAACCATATACCATGTACCCTGCAAGGTGGCACTCTAAGCCAGGCGCAAATCACTGTAGGTTCTTTGTGCAAATGCCACATCTTTTCACGGCCACTGCAGAAGACGACACGAAGCAATTAATGTTTAAAACATGATTTCCAAGGCAAATATTACTTCCGTACTCTTGAAAGTTCCAATTCGGTGAACACGGAACAAAAAGCAGTTTAAAGTTAAAGATGATTTTTTAGTCTCACAAAAAAGTTAAAAAGTTAGTTATAAGAGGGTTTTATGCTTTTATTGGCAATAAAAAAAAAGTTTGCCATGTTTTTTTTCTTCAGAAATTAAAGGGCGAAAAATTAAAGAAAAAGTTTGCCATGTGTTTTTTTCTTCAGAAATTAAAGGGCGAAAAAGGCAATTGTCCAAGTCGAAGTTCCAATACCTTTTTTCAAAAAACTAAAGAATGAAATATAAATCCCCCTGCAATGATCACTAATCAAACATTTGTTTACATTTCCTAACCAAGCTTGGTTTCTTTATTTATATCATATATTATATTAAGCAAGTCATGTCATGTCAAGCTTCAACATGGTCTTTTTCATTTCCGTAAAATTTTCTTTCTGGTATATGATTTTTAAGGTGCAGGGCGTTCCAATTTTTACATTATAAAAATATGAAGGAGCATAAATATAACTTATAATTACAAAAATGTCATAAATCTTGAAACATTGAATACAATTTTAAGTGGAACCAGCCATATTTGAATCGCGGCTTAAATTTGAACCGTTTCTTAAATTCTTTAAATTCGGCCTCAGGACTACAAAAAACGTGGATTTAGAGAGTTCAAATCAAAAGCCAAGGCGTCGCAAACTCTTCTACGTCAACCCAGTCTGAAAATGGATGCAACATTTCATACCATTTAGAATTGGTGTGACTTGTTTCCTTTCTCAAACTAGAACTTTCATAATTTCAAAGAAATGTTTTTAAGTGCTTAGTTTCACTCCCAGACAAAATCACTGAGCGGTATCATGTTCCACACGTTATGATCCAAAGTTTATCAACATTTTGTCAATTATTACTTTTTAACTCAAGGTAGAAACAATTGTAATTTATAGTTCAAAACATTTGTGTCTTTGGCTTGAATAATCATCAAAGGCTATAGGGTGTTGTGATTTTTCGACCATGAGACCCTGACCAGTTTGGATTGCTGTGAACGCGCCTAATGTTGGTTCAATTGGTTCAGCCGTTACAAAAAATATCAACCAATGCTTATAAACACGAACCGTCAACCAAAATATAGATCTTCTTTAGAAATCTGAAAATATAGATTAATTGATTAATTGATTGATTTTGATGTTCAGTATCCTGAGCTGAATTATCACAGTGTATCCTGCACACCTGGGAAACCTTGCAGTCATGCCATTCCTGTCCAACCACAGGTCAGATCGTCTACGCGGCATTAAAGGGACTGTATGTAGGTCAGATCGTGTACGCGGCATTAAAGGGACTGTATGTAGGCAAAGAGAATAGAATATATATTAGAGGGGAATTTACTAGAAAAAAGTGTAAAACGGCCATTTTGTTGTACTGTTTCCATACTGTAGGTGTACTTTACATATTTATGCTAAATAACCTTTTGGGCCATGAAATATCATTTTATAGAAAATCTAAAATTAATGTTAAAAGAAAACCAAATTATGAAATAGGCTGGTTTCATAATTGACCAATGATCATTTCACATAGACTCTATGCCTTTCACTTTACAAACGATGATTTTCCGTTATAACTATAAATCAAATGATGTTTTTTATTCACCTAATTCATTATAAAGTTTATTTAACAGCTTTAAAAAATTCGAAATTGAAATGAATAGTCTAGGGAACATACTGTATTAATGTACTCTACTGCATATAATTTGTGAACATTTACATGATTTGTACACTTTGAACTCCCTTTCAGGCTATAAGGGACTGAAAAAATTCATACTGAGAGATTCTTTAAATTCCCCTCTAATATATATTCTATTCTCTATGTATGTAGGTCAATCGTCTACGCGGCATTAAAGGGGCGTAGACGAGATTTCATTTGGATTTGAAAATCCGTTTAATCTGTTACCTGAGCAAAAATGAGGAATTGTCGGTTTTTTTAAAAGTTTATCTTAATAAAAAAAGCTTGGGACTTTTAAATATGATAAGCCAATTATCAAATATTAATATTTGTATACCATATTTAATCTTTTCAAAAAAATATATCTAAATATATTTCAAATATTTTAAAGACATACTTAAACTGTTAACTTGTAAGTTAATTTTTAATGGTCTGAGAAAATTTTCCGTCTCGCCCCTTAGTTCTCACTTCTATTGTATACTATAATTTGGTATACATACCTGAATACCAGAGGGATGTTTACATAATTTCATAAAATAGTTCAAGCATTAATTTTAATCCCTCTTTTTAATGGAGGGTCACATGAAATTACTTCTTATCTGATTTTAGGACGAGCAAAGACTGTTTTCTGTGATTGAGGATAAATTCTATGATGTCCGGCAAGGAGAGGGTTCCCTTGATCAGGTTGATGACGTATTCAACGCCAGAGATGGGCTAAATGCTCCTGGATGGTTTGATGCTCTGATCAAAACAAATACACCAGAAGAGAAAAATTATAGAGAAGGCTCTTCTGATGACTTTGAGCATAGAAACAGGTTTGCAACAACGGATACGGTTGAGGTTGAATCCTACAATCGGTTTCAGCATCAAGCTGATTCAAGAAGAACGAATGCTCCAACGGATGTTAGACCCTTCAATAGGTTTCAGCATGGGAGTGGGTTTGTAAGCCTGAGTGATTCAAGAAGAACAAACTCTCCAGTCGAAGTAGAATCATTCAACCGGTTTCAGCATCAAGCTGATTCAAGAGGAACAAATGCGCCAACGACTGTTGAGTCCTCCAATGGGTTTCAGCATCGGAGTGGGTTTGTAAGCTTGAGTGATTTAAGAGGAATAAAAACTCCAACGACTGTTGAGTCTTCCAATGGGTTTCAACATCGGAGTGGGTTAATAAACCTGGATTGGGAGGATGAAGGTGTTTACTCCAGTAACCGGTTTGACGGTCCATATCTGTACGACGAGAACAGGGTTGATTTAGAGGACCGCTATGGATATTCTAAGGATGAAGAAGAGGAAATGCCTGAATTTTCAAGCATACTCCAAGCCAATACAGGCAAACAAACAGGTAACTATTATACTCCGTTGAAAGAATTACTTTCGTTGTATTTGATTTTTGAAAAATTCTGAGAAATAAGTTCTACCTATTTAAAACTCAATTTAGTGATAGAAAATATTTGTTAGAACCTTGTATAACTTTGATAAAATTTCATACAAATTTGAGTCTATCAAAATTCTAAAATCAAGAAATAATGTCAAGAAAAGCAAAAAGGTTTTTATAATTTACGAAATTTTATATTTTTTTATCATTTTAATATGCTTATATGTTGTAAACTTTGACTTTGAACCAACCGAATTCGTAGTTTAAAATGATTGCAAAGAAAAAAATAATATGAAAATTACAATTTACTTTTTGTTCAAAAAAAATTATTCATTTGCATTAAAAAATATGAAAATAAAATGACAATTTAGACAACAAAATTGTTCACCACTTGTTGGCGAATGGTTATGATTGTCAAAGTTACAGGGTGTCCCACGAAACATGACAATAGGAAGACGACTTGAAAGTCGTCTTTGGTATTTGAATTTATTTGTGACATTTAGTCTTCTATCTACTTTAACATGTATGATTCTTGAAACAATTATCACATAATTCTCCTAGCCCTGGCATTTCCAAAAAGTGGTCTGCGTTTTTTGTGCTTTCAATATTACCGGAGATATAAAGAGTTTGGTTCAGATTTCAATTTTGTTAAATAAAAGCAAAATTGTCGAAATCTGAACGAAATTCTTCATATCTCGGGCAATATTGAAAGCACAAAAAAGGCAGACCACATTTTGGAAATGGCAGGACAAGGGAAATTTTGTGATTATTATCTCTAGAAATTTACTTCTAAAATTAGGTTGACAAATAAACGCAGCAAATTATATCAAAAATCAAGACGACATTCAAGTCGTCCTGCATACTGTCATGTTTCGTGGGACACCCTGTACTAGAAAAAAAACTAAGATAATTTATACACTGAAACTGTATAAAAAATATAAAAAAAATGTTGAAAGGGATTTTTTTTATTATTATTATTACTCTCTTAGGAGCAGCTATATGTAACTTCACACTTCATGATTTTTATATTTTATCAAATGTTCTCCCTTTGTAATTAACCCCTGCTTCCCTTACTCTTATGCCACTTTGTCGCGTGTTTTTCAAGGACTTTTTCGGTTATACGTATGTTTTTTTATAATTTGATTACTATATTACATATAAATATATATATATATAATCCATATATATATATACATATATTGAAACTTAGTAATAAATAGAGTAGAAAGTTGTTGAGCAATTAAACTTGCAATGATATCGTTCACGCAGGAGTAATCACTCAAGTAGTTTTTTAGATTTTGCCTCTTCAACCTCTTGAACAAAAGAGATTTTGAATCTATGCCACAAACTCTTAGTTTGTAATCGCTACATATTCTTGCCAACACAATGTCGTAGACCTTAGATATTTCAAATTGTGCACATGAAAAAATGAAAGTTGAAACATCAAAGGTTAACAATATCAGATCTACAGGGGCGGANTTATTTTAGAATACAGAAGAAATAAATGATTTCAAATCCAACAGATTTCCTGCCAAAGCCCCTGAAAGAACCCCTGATAGAACTCCACAAAGAACCCCTGATAGAGCCCCGGAGAGGGCCCCCGAAAAAGCCCCAGCAATGGCCCCTGAGTCAATGTCTCAAAGAGAAAATGCAAATCGGAGAAATGGATATTTTGAAAGAAATAAGAACATGGTTAGTTTTATTCATTTGAAAAATTTAAAAATTTTACTCTACAGAATTCATTACCCCAAACCCTGTGTACTCAATGATACCAAGTGAATTATAAGGGTGAAATATTCGACAATGTTAACTGTACACATCACAGCAAACTAGGACAGGAGCTAGATAACTACGGGGTGTCCCACGAAACATGACATTTAATAAATAGTTATTTTTAGTTAAACAAATCTTTTGCCTAATTATATTTAACTTTGAAATCAATTTTAATATAACATGACTCCCATAAAATATTTTCATTGATCTTTGGTATCAAACAACTGAACAAATAATGGAAAAAGTCATTTTAAACACTTCACCAACTGTCATGTTTCGTGGGACACCCTGTATGTCCGCCTCCTAGTTATTTGGCTGTAGAACATCAAATTTAGCTTTAAAAATCGTTACTATTACATTAGTAACTATATTTGTAAGCATTCAAGTTCCCCGTTGAATTCTAAAAACACTTGGGGGATTCGAATTTTTGAAGAAGCCTCATGACGATCCTCAGTCGTCAAAATCCTTTGAACAACTCCTATATCTATAAAATAAAACAAGACATTCGTATATATATATGTTGCCTCTGTCAGATCAGGTTGCAAATATATAGATTAGACACTTTGAGTTGGGTAAATTAAAGGTTAGATTAACAATCTTTAAAGAACTGGATTTACCATGTTTATTTATCTAAATAAAATAAAGAAAGTCAGCATTTCACTTTTTTGACATATTTTTCCCTGTTACCGCCTCAATCTATATATACGCTATACTTGGCTGTCCGTTTGTATCCTATATTCGTCAAAACGGCTGAACCAATCGGGCCAAAATTTTAAATACAAGATGAACGCGAAGCGTCCTAAAAGTCTAGTATTCTAAATTATGTGTTTTCTTTGTTCAGGCTCTGAATTGAAACCTAATCCATCGCCATGGCCTCGTCATAAAGTAACAACGTATTCAGGTACATAGAGGACCAACACTACAATTCTTTATAAAGAGACTTTCCTTGTAATTTTAATGACCCTCCAGTTAAAGTACAGTGAAACCCTTAATAACGAATACATCGGAAGAATTTATCAAATGTCGTCTTGACAATTTTTCAATGAGTTTTATACTATATTTCGTAAATTTCAGTATTGAATACGTAAATAAATGAATAGCCATGAATATGCGGGAACAGTTTTAAAGAGTTCCATATAATCATTTAATTAAAAAACTAAATATCTGCAACATTTTACTATCAGAAAGTGAAGAATACGACATTTGATGAATTCTTTTTATGTATTCGTTATTAAGGGTTTCACTGTATTTAAAGCACCCTGTCTAAATAGGTTCCTTCAAAATGCTTTTTCTGATTAATTCTAATAATTTCATTATTTTTTCTGTGGCTAAAAAATCCACAGGTCAGTTTCTTAAAGAAAACCCGAAAGAAAATAACCAGCTTTTCACAGACAAATCCTTGACATCTCATTTATTCTTGATTAGAATCAGACGCGTCGTTCTAAAAATACAGTTTACCTTCAAATTTTGACTATCTAATTAATAAATATTAGCCAGCAATAATAAAATTAATTTTGAAATGAAAATATAATTCTAATTTTGCAGCTCCTGTGTCTGTAGCTACTGGATTAGGACCGGATAAGGGTAAAAAAAATTAATGAACAAAAAATAGATAGACATTATGATATTTCATATTTGCCAAAGCAAATTATGTTTTTTAGTGTGTGGAATTTTTGCTCTGACAGTAAATTTTAATTTAAATGTCAGATTTATTTCATGATTATTGTTTCAAGAATCATATTTCTAAAACTATGTTGAAAAATTAATGCCTAATTTAATAAAACTTGTTAAAATACAAAAGACCATTTTTAAATCGTCTCTAAAGTTTCATGTTTTTTGGGACACCCTGTATGTATGTACCGTACTACATGTATAAACTACTTTAGGCCCCGAGTACCCACGTCGGCACGGTACATCCTCTCCAGTACAACAGTCCAGCAAGTAAGATTTAAACTTCTAACTTGAAAAGTGATTCATTCTAAAAATGTCCTCCGAAGTTTCTGGAGCAGAAATGCGCAAGATTTTAAAATAAACTACCATTCAAAATAATTCATTTTTAGAGATATGCAATCTTGATGAAGCAAAGCTTTTAAGGGTACCTTTGTAAATCATACATGCCACTCTTAAACGGAGTGTTGGCCATTCTTTTTCATCTATTTACCAACATTGAAGGATATTGGCAGGATTTCACAAAATATGCAAATTTTTGTTTTATTTTTTACAGGTTTAATTTTTCTTATACTATGTAAAATATTGACTCTGGAGCATAGATTAATTATACTAACAGATAGGACATTAGATGTCGTCTTTTCAAGATTTATTTGTGTTTCGTTAACAATAGCCCTGAGGCAGAAGCCTAAAATAGTTACGCACAGTCGGCGTAGAACAAGACAGAGAGATAGCCATATAAACTACTAAATTACTAAACTAAAGATTTAACTAAAGATTTTTATTTTGATAAAACTATTAAAGGGAGTGACCGGCTATGTAAGGTAGTTGAACTGAGTATGCAGTGTCGTGGAAAACTTCTTTCGGATTCATTTGAGACATATTAAACTTTTTAAAGATCTGTAAATCCTGAGTTTACGCGCAAATTCGACGTTCAAAACTCCTACTTTGGGGGTGGATACGTTTTCAGAATTAGTTTTTTTTAATATTAAATAACGACGACATAAAATGTAAAAAATT